ATTATGAATTCATTTTTGCTCCCATGAGAGTTCCGTGGAATTTCCATGGAATTTGTGCTTTCGAGTTGTTTGTGCTGAAACGCATTCTCTCGTATAATACCCCGTACACTTTGAAATGGCGATGCCACAATTTACCCCGCAGCAGAGTGCATGGTATCAGAGTTCCTCCGTAGCAACAACATAAACTTGGTTCGCCAAAGTTTCACGAAAGAATATCCAGATGTACGATGCCTTTCACGTGCGAATACGTGAAGGGCATCGTACATCTGGGTATTCGTTCGTAAAACTTTGGCGAACCAAGTTTATGTTGTTGCTACGGAGGAACTCTGATAGCATGCACTCTGCTGCGGGGTAAATTGTGGCATCGCCATTTCAAAGTGTACGGGGTATTATACGAGAGAATGCGTTTCAGCACAAACAACTTGAAAGCACAAATTCCATGGAAATTCCATGGAACTCTCATGGGAGCAAAAATGAATTCATAATAAAGCAAGAACAGCACCAACAGAGAAAAATGTAACGTTTTCATAGGCTTTTCGGAGGATTTGTACTCGGTAAAATCCTGCCGAAATTTTATCATAAATGCAACAAGTAGCGAACTTTTCATACATGAAATCAAATAAAGAATACTGTTTGTCATTTCCGTGCGCAAGCCACTTTTAGGGGAGCAAAAGTTGACCACCCCCCTGGATAGAAAAATTTACTATTTTCAAATTTTTTTATATTTTCCATAATTTAAGAACTCAAGCAATCCCTATATAGCAAAAATTACATTTCATGAACAGAATTGTGGAATTGAGAGCAATTTCAAAATTGTCTTACTTTTTTTGATACACCCTGTAGAGAGAGAGATATATATATATATTTATATATTTATATTTATATATTTATATATTCATATATATATATACATATATATATATATATATATATATATATATATATATATATATATATATATATATATATATATATATATATATATATATATATATATATATAAAGCGTCGATCTAGCCTGAATTCGATGGTAGCGGGTTCAAGACCCAGCCAAAAATTGTTTCACTCCTCGATTTTTGCCGCGAAAACCAGAGCGGGCAGTTGCATTTCACAGCGGGCAGTTTCGTTGTAGAGCGGGCCGGATGCAAAAAACCGACCCGCTCTGAAAGGCTCCTCAGCCAATCAGATTGCTTCATTCTGACTGATAAAAAATAAATATATATATTTATATTATATTTTATAACTTGTTTTGTTGTAGTCGATAATAAAGTGCTCAACACTATTATTATAGTAGAGCAAGATATATTTATATCTTAAAATTAATTATTGCTAATGAAGACGATCTTCAGGCAATTAATTCAGCTGGTGTTTGATTCGTCAATATCAACGGTCGCTTGCTGACCCGGAGGTTTGTTTATCGTCACCGGTTTGAATTTGCACGCGCTAAATTTTTCCTTGTGCATGACAGCACTTTGCATAAAACTCTGAACGCGTGTTCAGTGAATTGTTTCCTTTCGCTTTCAGGATTACATAATTTTTCTTCCAAACAGAGGCCACATCGCTTTCCGCCAGGCGTGTACGCAGCAGCTCGTTTCAAGATGGACCACTTGATGCTGTAATTTCTTCTACTTTGCTTCAGACTCCAAACGTACTTCGAAAGCTTTGTGTCAGACGAGTACGTTTGGAGTCTGAAGCAAAGCAGAAGAAATTACAGCATCAAGTGGTCCATCTTAAAAAGAGCTGCTGCGTATATGCCTGGTGGAAAGCGATGTGGCCTCTGTTTGGAAGAGAAGTTATGCATCCTGAAAGCGAAAGGGAACAACTCACTGATCACACGATCGGAGTTTTATGAGAAGTGCTGTCATAAGGAAAAATTTAGGGCGGGCAAATTCAAACTGATGATGCAAGACAAGCCTACGCGTCAGCGACCAATCATATGAGGCATTATTTACCAGCTGGGTAGTAAATAATGCGTTTCAAAAAGAATGATTCGCCAAATTTGGTTTCAAAATCAACAAAATATTGAGAAAATCGTCCCTAGAAAACGAAAGAAGCACAAAATGTTGTATTTAACTTGAAAGGTAGGATTCCTTTATTTTTTACTGTGTCAAATATATTCACGGACAATTTAAAACTTATTTAAAACTCCGAAACGTTCTCTTCAAACAAATAGCAAAAACCATCCCGATTTTTGGGAAAAGCCTTGCCGTGACATTCTTTAAAATCCATTTTATTTTATATACTATAGATTTCCCAATTTGTACGATACTATTTCTTTTGATATGTCATGTTTTCATTGTGCTGTATGGTGTTCTGACCGCTGTATTGTGTTTTCTAAACTTGTATAAAAGTAAAAAGTGTTACTAAAACTTTATTTCGAACAATATAGTTTTACATTTCATTTTACCAAATTCCTCAGCCATTTCCTGAAGAAATTAATGCTAAACAGAAACTATTTTTTATTCTAAGTCTGGTGAAAGTGTCATT